AGGGGGTTGGGGTGGGATCATCTCTGAGGTCCATTCCAACCCCTTAATGTTCTGTGATTTGACCTTTAAGTGGTGGCAGGTGAGATAAGTCCTGTCCACAATCAATAGGAAACAACATATCCAATGAATGTTGAGTCCTTCCAACGTTTGGCTGTTTGGGGGGTTCTCTTCTACTGATACTGTTTTATTACTGTTTCCAAATTGCCCTTTACCTCCCTAGAACTTCCCCTCTAAGGCTTCTTGTCTGTCTTCAAGCATTTTCTGGCTGTGTGTAAGGAGGGAAGAGGAAAGGCAAATGATTGGGGTAGTTTTTTGGGATTGTTAATTGTTTGTTATTTCTTTAACCAAAACTGAGCTTTCAAAATAAGACAAAGGACTTTGTGTCCCCTGATTATTTGTTTTACAAGGAGAGAAGAAAAAGCAAAGATCATTCAGTGTGTTAGATTAGAAACTGATGCCTCAGGGACTTAGTGCACAATAGAAGTTGCTTGGCCAGTAGGTTTTATTTAGCAAGGTGAAATTTCTCTTCAGAGGAGAGGTCAGATGGCTCAGAATTGTGGAGGACATGCTAGAGAGGTGAGAATTCAACACATTATTGGGAAAAAATGCCTTGTTTCTCTGGAGTGTACCAGTGACCCAAACTGTCAGAGGTGCTAGTCACCTGTACATGCACTGTCACAGAATCACAGAACCGTCCAGGCTGGAGGAGATCTCTAAGATCATCGAGTCCAACCATTAACCTGTCACTGCTGGAATCCCTAAACCCTAAACCAGATCCTCCAGTGTCAGATCCAGATGGCTCTTCAACACCTCCAGGGATGGTGACTCCACCACCTCCCTGGGCAATATCCCATCCCAGTGCCAATACCTGTCAAGCTTTGTAACTTCCACTTGCTTTTGTTTCTTGTGCATATATTGTTTCAGTGGACAGTGGATCTTCAGGATTCTTCTTTTATCTGTTGATAGATGTATAAAGAGAGGCGAAAGGAGAAATTCTAACCAGTGGTCAAGATGACAATTATGAAGAAGCAGCACTAGGGCAGTGCTCATCCCCCTGCACTGGGCACCCTGTCAAGCTTTGTAACTTCCACTTGCTTTTGTTTCTTGTGCATATATTGTTTCAGTGGACAGTGGATCTTCAGGATTCTTCTTTTATCTGTTGATAGATGTATAAAGAGAGGCGAAAGGAGAAATTCTAACCAGTGGTCAAGATGACAATTATGAAGAAGCAGCACTAGGGCAGTGCTCATCCCCCTGCACTGGGCACTGGGGAGGTCCCAGCTCAGTGCTGTGCTCAGCTTTGGGCACTCACTGCCCAAAGGCCATTGAGGCACTGGAGTGAGTCCAGCCAAGGGCAACGAGGGCAGCAAAGGGCTGGAAAACCTGTGGGATGAGGAAGGGCTGAGGGACTTGGGTTTGTTTAGCCCGGAGTGACCTCCTGGCTCTCTCCAACTCCCTGCCAGGGCTGGAGAGGTGGAGGATGTCTATCCTGCCATGGCTGCAGAGAGAGGACTAGAGGGAATGGCCTTGAGCTGAGCCAGGGCAGAGTCAGGTTGGGTGTTAGGAGAAATGTTTTCCCTGTGAGGGTGTTGAGGCACTGGGATATTGCCCAGGGAGGTGGTGGAGTCACCATCCCTGGAGGTGTTGAAGAGGTGTCTGGATGTGGCACTGGAGGATCTGGTTTAGGGTTTAGGAGTTCCAGCAGTGACAGGTTAATGGTTGGACTGGATGATCTTAGAGGTCTCCTCCAACTTGGATGGTTCTATGAGAAGGAGCCAAACAATAATAGCAACAGTGAAACCTTAACTGTTTTGAGAACAGAACTTTGGCAAAATTAGCTCCCTAGATTGCTCATAATGCTTTTAAAAGAAGAATTTGGAAGGATAAGGACTTCTGAGCCTGTGCCTTCCTTCAGACTTCCTCCTGGAATCCCTTGGGGAAATCTTTTTCAGGTCTAGCAAACAAAGTGTTGGGAGAGACTAGCTGACCAAAGCTGCCATACTGGAATAGACTGGCGAGTCACATTAGTGGGAAGTGGAGCAGTAATCATCTAAGTGCACTGAAGGAGTTCAGTGAAGCTGCTAATGTTCAAAAATAATCCTAATTATACCCAGTTAGAAAATGAAGTGGCAGTAAATGGTATTGGTGTCTTCAGCAATTGGGGGAGGAGGATCCTGCTGAGCTCTGGGTCTCAGTGCCATACGATGCCTTATCAGAAGAGCTTGGCATGGCTCAAAAATAATTGGGCTGTTGGATGTGTAACAGTCATTTGTACAAGGGAAATACAAATAGCAGAACATAAACCTGGTTGCTAGATCCACAGCCTGATTTCAGTGCTGTGAGGTGAGTCAAGTTAAATGTGGCTGTTAATGAACCTCACACAGCAGGGGCAAAGCAGCTCAGCTCCTGCGAAGGAAAATTGAGCTGTGCACATCTGTGCAGATCAGCACTCATGAATTCTGAAATCACTGTCTCGTACACTCCTTGAGAGCTTGGAAGGTTAGGTGCTCTTGTTCTTAGGGTGCCACAGCTAGTTCTAGGTAGGCTCTAAGATTCCGTCCTCACACAGCTGTTAAGTGAATAACTCAGTAGGAGCTGAACAGTGTGAGTTGTGCAAAACTTGTGGCTGGTTCAAAATTGGTTACGTAGCTGAATATAAGACTCTGGAATAGGTTGCCCAGGAAGGTGGTGGAGTCACCATCCCTGGAGGTGTTGAAGAGGTATCTGGATCTGGCGCTGGAGGATCTGGTTTAGGGTTTAGGGGTTCCATCAGTGACAGGTTAATGGCTGGAGTCGATGATCTGAGAGGTATCTCCAGCCTTGATGGTTCGAGGATTCCATGACTCTGAGGTGTTCCCTAGGGATATCAGGGAAGGTTTGCTCCTGGCAGTCTGGCACACAGCCAAAGCCAAGGGCTGTGCAAGTGTCTGTGTGAAAGGTTTTTATTGTGTGGTAGCTCTTAGTGTAGCTGCAGCTCTGTGTGTGGAGACAAGTCCTCAGGCTTGGAGCAGTGGGTGGTGGTTCTGTCTCATGTTTCCACACTGCAGCAGTGCCCAGAGAAAGAAAAGAGAAGGGAAAGATTTCTACTGCTACTGGAAAAGGAGGATCGAGTAGTAATAGGTTTGTGATGATATATATCTATCTCATATGTAATGATTTTACAGGGAGAAAGGTGGGTGGTGTATATTTTCATAGAATCATAGTATTGTAGGGGTTGGAGTGGAGCTTAGAGATCATCCAGTCCCAACCCCCTGGGCAGGGACACCTCCCACCAGAGCAGGTTGCTCAAAGCTTCATCCAACCTGGCTGTGAACACTGCCAGGGTTGGGACAGCCACAGCCTCCCTGAGCAGCCTGGTTTGGCCACAACAGAAGAACAGAGAGACATTCATCACTCTGAAAATTAATTAAAAACTGCTTCCTTATTCTTTCCATCATGCCTTGCTAACCTGGGAAGCTCAGTGCCATGTGATAGCTCATTTGAACAGCTTAATAACGTTCAGAAATAATTAGACTTCGGGATGGATAACATCCCCTGTTATCTTACCCAGGAAAAAGATAAACTCTCCAGCTTCAAAGATGACTTGGTAATGACCAACCTTGAAAAAACTTGACTGTAAGCCATGGCTCATTAAAAAGCTTGAGGATCAGTCGTTGCTGCTGGGTGAGGAGAGAGAACAAGGGCAGAGAGTCTGCTGAGAGGGACTGCTTGCTGGAAAAACACTGCTGCAAATGGTCTGTTGTCTGGGCCACCTTGGCTTGGCTTTGAAAGCATAAAACTTCCAGGCCATGGGTGAAGTGACATCTTGCCTCTTGTCTTGGATGGTTTTTTGCACATAAATACTGCAGTGGGGCTGTCATCAGAAGAGCCACTGAAGTTGATGTTACAGTTATTGGTGGTTTTCTGTCATGGCAGCTCTCAGTGTGATTTTTCTGGGTTCTTTAATTGGGGATTTGAGTTTACTGTGTGTGGCTTGTGTTCACAGAATCATAGAACAGGTAGGGCTGGAGGGGACCTATAAGATCATCCAGTCCAACCATTAACCTGTCACTGCTGGAACCCCTAAACCAGATCCTCCAGTGCCAGATCCAGATGCCTCTCCAATACTTCCAGGGATGGTGACTCCACCACCTCCCTGGGCAATATCCCAGAGCCTGAACACCCTCACAAGGAAAACATTTCTCCTCACATCCAATCTGACTCTGCCCTGGCTCAGCTCAAGGCCATTCCATCTAGTCCTCAAATGTTGGCATGACATGTGGTGCCTCCTGCTGGAGGGAGGGTGGGTGAGGCTGCTTGTTTGCATGCTGTGCTGGGCTCACTGTGGCTGGATGCCTGGTGCCCACCAAAGCTTAGCTTAACCCCAAAATTCTCTATGTCTCCCCTCACAGTGATGCAGAGGGACAGGGAATTGGGGTCAGTTCATCACACATTGTCTCTGCTGCTCCTTCTCAGGTATAGGGCTCCTCACACCCTTCCCTGCTCCAGCCTGGGGTCCCTCCTGTGGGAGACAGTCCTGCAGTAACTTCTCCAGTGTCAGTCTTTCTCATGGACTGCAGTTCCATGCAAATGTACTGCTCCAGCATGGGTCCTTCAGGAACAGACTTGCTCCAGCCTGGGCTCCTCTCTCCATGGGGCCACAGGTCCTGCCAGGAACCTCTTTTGAGCATCCTCTGCTCAGCTGTGGTGTCCTTCAGGGGCTGCAGGTGGATCTCTGTTCCCCGTGGACATCCATGGGCTGCTGGGGTGCAACTGCTTCACCATGGGCTGCACCTTATGCTGCAAGGAAATCTCTGCTCTTACACCTGGAGCACCTCCTTCCCCTCCTCCTTCACTGCCCTTGGTGTCTGCAGGGCTGGTGCTCTCACGTTCTCTCACTCCTCTCTTCTCAGGCTGCAAATTTATAAGCAAAACTTACATGATCAGATTTATTGTATGACTTTAGTTTGGATCTTATGAGGTTTCAATTAGCATCTCAAAGTTTTCTGTGTTTTTTGCAGGGCATCATAGAGAAATCGAAAGTGAAAGGAATTCCCATCATTATCGATGCTGTGAGTATTGTCTTGATTCCATCAGTGGTTGGACATTCAGGAATCCATGAAGTGAAATGTTCTTCTGCCTGTTGTTTTGCAGGATGGACTGTGGCTCATTTCCCAGCAGCCTTCTCTTATCCAAGGCTACCAGAGAGCTATCCTCACTCCCAACTACATGGAGTTCAGTAGGCTGTATGAAGCCATGGTGAGCTGTCCTCCTGTTGATCCTTAACTATGGGCAAGTTCAGCCTTTTGGTCTTTAGGACTAAACAAAACCCTTTTGTTACTGGCTTAAACACTCTGTGCTGTTTCTTACATGTGAGAGAAGCATTCTCTGGGTTGTTACTCCACGGGGTAATTGTCACAGCAATGTATATTCTTAGCCAGAGCCCTCTGTGTGAAGAACACCCATTCTAATGCGTGTTCTGACCCACAATGGGTATAGAAAAAAGATAGCTGGAAAGACTGATGATATTGCCTTTATTTTCCCCCTGCACATGCTGAAGTAGCATGTGTTGAGCATGTTGTTCTAGCAGTAAAACATGCACTGTGCATGGAATTCTGTGTTGCAGCTCAGAGACCCTGTCGACAGCAGTGATCATCATGGATGTGTGCTGAGACTCAGCCAAGCCATGGGGAATCTGACAGTTGTTCAAAAGGGAGAGAGAGACCTTATTTCGGACGGAGAGAAAGGTAAGTGAAGCGTTTTGCCTTTAGCTCTGTCACTGTTTTGTTTTATTTGCTGTCAGCCGTAGCCCAGTGGTTGGACTAGACAGCAATGGGTTGTATTCCCCTGGAGATTGACCTTGGGGTTGCTGCTTCTGCAGACACCTTTAGATGATTTGTGTCAGTTGGCATTTTAAGAGTGCAGCTCAATTTATCTGCTGAGAAAAGTTGCTGATTTCGTTTCTCCTTTTAAATGGCTGTAACTTATGTTTTGCATCACACAGATACTGAGAAATTAACCATTTAATCCTGGTGAACTGTTTGAAAATCCTTAGCTGAGGTGGTGTAAGTGCAGCTCTCACTGCTGAATTGGTGAAAATAATGTTATTTCACCACGTGTTGGTGTGTGAGAAGAATGAAGATGTGCTGGAGCAGGTCCAGAGAAGAGCAATGAGGCTGGTGAAGGGACTGGAGTACAAGTGCCATGAGGAGAGGCTGAGGGAGCTGGGGGTGTTCAGCCTGGAGAAGAGGAGGCTCAGGGGAGGCCTTATCACCCTCTACAACTCCCTGACAGGAGGTTGGAGTCAGGTGGGGGTTGGTCTCTTCTCCCAGGCAACCAGCAGCAGGACAAGAGGGCACAGACTTGAGCTCTGCCAGGGGAGGTTTAGGTTGGATATTAGGAAATTTTTTCTGGATAGAGCGATCAGGCATTGGAATGTGCTGCCCAGGGAGGTGGTGGATTCACCATCCCTGGAGGTTTTAAGGATGAAACTAGGTGTGGCACTTAGTGCCATGGTCTAGTAACCAGGGTAGGGTTGGACTCGATGATCTTGGAGGTCTTTTCCAATCCAGTTGATTCTATGATTCTGTGACCTGCTCAGATCCTGGAGCTGTCCACCGTGGGCTGTAGATCAGCATGGACATACATGACTTGGTGTTAGCCTTGACAATTGAAAACCCAAATAGGTTAACTCTAGATGGCCATTACAGCTTTTTAAAGCTGTCACTTGCTAATATAGTTAAAGTATATCAATAAAATTATCTGCCTGTCTGATGCCTTTTATCCTGACCCTTCGCTGTGGTCAGTGTGAACTGAGCCCACAAGTGCCTTCATCACGTTGTGACTACATGATCTTGTTTCACATACATAACAGGCAGCAGCTCTGCTTCTAGTTCCTCCAGATGCTAATCCCTGAAAAGTGTTCATGCTGCTTCAGAACTGGTTTGTATGTGCAGTCCGTTCTTCATTTCTGGGAGCCACAGGAGTCTTTTATAGGCACCTCCCTCACACCCCATTAGTGCAGGGGCTGTAGCACCCTAAGAAACAACTGGGACTTGGGAGCAATATGATCAAACCTCAGTGGTAAAGGACTTGGGTCACAGGGTAGCCAAGTTGCCCCAGAGGAACTTTGCTGCTGTATTTTCACCCAGAGCACACTTAGTTTGTGGCCTTGGACAGTCAGGCCAGGCGTAAGGGAGGATGAACTCTGCCAGAGGATGGAACATCTTGGCTGGAGTCTCTGTCAGCTGGAGAGCCTTAGAGCACTGCAGTTACCTTTTTCTTCCTCTTGCTCTTATGTCAGCAGTGTTGTTCTAATGCAGGATTGTTGCTCTTTTAATGAGCGTTGGGTGAGCACTTTAGATTGAGCACATTATCTGGTGTCTCTCTGTTCTCCTTTGGAGCTGTTACTGAGATAAGTGTACCCCACAGCTGCTGGAGAGACAGGACACTGTCTCCACTGTCTCCTGCCATGCAGGGCTCAAAACACCAGGAAACACCTGAAACTCTTGGCAGTTTCAATTCTGAACATGTGGCACAAGTTGGATGTGTCCCTGTGTGCTCTCGGGGTTTTCCTTTGGGTTTGTTTTTCCACCACCTCGTTCTCTGTCTCTGTTGGGTTCTGCTGCTGTTTGGTCTTGGTGAAAGTGGCTTTTGATTTGCAATAAAAAGTTCTGTGCATTCGCAGCAGTTGATTAACGTCCCTGCACCAGCTGCTTTGCTGCCCTTGGCTCTGTCAGTGCTGCTCTGTCTCCGCTGGGTCCCGAGCGTTGCCAGCAGCATTGCTGAGCTGTAAGGCAGCAGCTGTCAGGGTGAACACAGGTTATAATGTCTGTTGCAAAGCTGCTTTCAGAGGTTGCATGGTTTGCAAGGAGGTTCCCGAGGATTCTGCAGGAACTACAGACTTCAGCTGCCTCATAACAAGGATGTTCTTTGGGTCTGCTCTGTTGTTCATTGTTTTAAAAGCTTCTCAAGTGCAAAATGACACAAAGAAAGGAGATTCTGCTGTGTGCTCTGTTCCACAGTGTGGAATATGTCTCCGACCTTGAATTCTTTCCCAGGATTTTTCCTCGTAACTTCTTTTTTCATCTCATTCTTCTTTTGATCTGATGTTTTTTCAGCTAAGACAACAGACATCATGATTCCAGTGCGAGGGAAATCCTTGGACCAGGCCAGTGTCCTCTGAGCACAGCCAAACATTAGGAAAAGACCTGTGCAGTCCTCTTGCCTTTTATTTTTCATGTCATCTTCGATTTGCAGTGCTTAAGCCCTGCCTGAGCTGAGGCATTTTTGAGCTCCTGTGCTTAGCATTCTGACACTGTAGTTTCCATACAGCACTTTGGACTTTCTCTGAAGTCTCAGTGCTCTCCAGGCAAATATGGAGCTGAGAAATGGCAAACTTCAGTATGTAACTGCAGTGTTCTGTGCTTGGCTGTGGTGGGAGGAAGCCAAACTTTGCAGTGGGGAAGACTTTGATTGTGGTTGTTATTTTTGTAGTACTTTGTTTCTGAGTCTGTAGTAAATTAGGTAGACGATTTACTTCTGTTAGCTGAAGACAAAAGGTGACTTGGTGTGAGCTGGAACTGCAGGAGTTGGTGAAGGATTGCTGTCAGTTTGCTCTGTGATTAACCAGAGAGGCTCAATAAACTCTGATTGGAAGCTGAAGCTTAATATACTCACAGTAAGGTAGATTTGAATAGACAAAGAAATTAACTGTTTCAGCAATAAACCTGGAACTTTGCTATGTTGCCAAACTGGGAAGTGTCTGGACACTCCTGAGGTTTGTTTTTAGGATCAGGTCAGCTGGTGCAGGTGGTTCCTTGAGACCTCAGAGTCAGCACTGAGTCACACCAGTCTCTGTGACAGCAGTAGGAATCCTCCCCTGTAGAGGAGATGCTAATGGACCTTGTGTCCTTTTCAGTCCTGAGCTGCCACTGGCCTAGAGACATAACCACCACGATCTTAAATTAAGTTTTATATACTCTTTTTCTCTTTCCTTTTGCAATTTCACATTATAGCTTGGTCTACAGTTGTTGGTTCCCTGCTCTGCAAAGATGAGCTTCACCATGCTCTTGGTAGGTGATATCAGTGCCATCACTGACCAGGGTAGGAATGAATACTCAGCCTGTGGGTAAGAGGTAAGTCAGCTTTTATTCCCTCTGGCACAGCTCTCTGAGATTATCTGTTTATTACTCTTTGGAGAACTGGTCAATGATAAAGTGTGGTTATACCTGTCTTAGTTCCTAACATGTTTAAAATTTGGGTAGGTCCTTGAGTGGAGGATTTGGGTTTTTTAATGCCGTAATTAGTCTCTCTGCATTTTGCCCAGCACCTGTGTTTGTGTCCTCTCCCTCCCTAAGGGAGAACCTGTGGGGACATATCCTGCTGCTGCCTGGGACTGCTCTTACCTGCAGCCAGCAGCCAAATGTGGTCTCTCCACAGTTGTGCAGCTGCAGCTAAGGTCAAGAAAGCCCAAGAAGCATGTGAGAGGGTAAAAAGCCAACTCTGGCCATAAGTGTCCAAGCAGTACTGCCAATTTCTGCCATTCATCTCCCTGTACACGTGGAAGGAGAGTTACTCAGTGCTCCCTGGCTCACTTCAGCTGCTGAGCAAGTCTTGCCTCTGTTTTCAGCTGAGAGGCATCACCTTTGTCTCCAGAGTGAGCAGAACAGGGAGGTCATTGCTCCTGTCCATGGTGTGCTGTGCTCTCTGTTGCACACACAGCCCAACCCTGGCACTGCTCACTCACCACACCGTTCCCTGGCTCCTGTGCCTAGCCAGGAAAAGTAATGGAACATTTGGATCACTTGCTGTTCACTCAAGTTACCTGGTACCTCACACTCAAGGACCTGTCCGAGTTTTAAAAGTATGATTAGGGAATAGAAAAGTATAAACACCCTTTATATAAAAGCCAACTTACATTTTCCACATCAGTTGAGTGATTTCTCCAGCCAGAGTCACTGGACTTGGTTTCCCTGTCTGTATGGACTCTGGGACATGTTTCTGAGAGTCCACAATCTCCAGCTCTGTGCTCTCGTGAACTAACTTGCAAAAGGAAAAAGACACATTTCTTACTAGTATAAGTATCTGCCAAGTCGGAGATATATATTGGTAAGACATTTTGCTCAAAATAATGATCTAAACCTGAATCTTGCATTTGATGGAGCAAAATGATCCTTGATGGCTACATTATTTTGCATGGAAAATAGAAATCATAGGCCTTTTAATTCAGCTGTAGTGTTTGTGGGGTGGGGTGGCTGATGTTAGCTGATCCAGTCCAGTTGGGTCATATTAGAAGTCAGAGTGGTCATGTATTTCATACATGGATCCCTGAACACAAGGGTGAGTGTAATGCTCTTACTCTGTAAGAGGAAAACAAGCACAGAGAACTTGTTCAGGATGTGGTTTGTTCTTCCCTGTTCTGGTGGTGAGACCCTGGCACAGGTTGCCCAGGGAGGCTGTGGCTGCCCCAGCCCTGGCAGTGTTCACTGCCGTGTTGGATGAAGCCTTGAGCAACCTGTTGTGGTGGGAGGTGTCCCTGCCCAGGGCAGGGGGTTGGGGCTGGATGATCTCTGAGGTCCATTCCAACCCCTAAAACTTTAGGATTCTAGGTATGAGATTCAGGAGTTAAAGTTTAATCTCCAGACTGTCTTTCAGTCTGTAAATGTGATGTTTCACACAGGCTCTTCAGCCTCCTTTGCCACTATCAGTGCTGCTATGTGTTTAGCCTCAACTACCTATCCTATGT